ATTTATTTTTCTATACACATATGTAGATAATTTTGAAGGGTCTATTGTGTGGATTCCAAGAATCTCTCTGGCCTATCTACTGATTCAAAGTTCTTTATTTGATAATTACCAGAACTTTCATTTTGACTGTACTTCCTTCCACTTTGGTGGGCATTAAGCAATGCATTATTTGGGTAAGTACTTAAGCTTCACAAATTAACTTTCTTCTTAGTCAAATAAACAGAGTATTTCCCCTTGTACCAGCAGACAATCTAGCTTTCTTCTCTCGCTGTCCTGTGAACGCGGACTCTGGAATAAGGGGAAAGTGTTAAATGTGAAGTTTAAAGGAATACTATGTTCAGTAGTAGTTACACTCTTTTAATTAATGTATCTCTCCTGAGAAACAAGTGGAAAAAAATCACATTTGAAAATATAAAAAATTAATCGGAATTCATCTGGGGCCAGGAATATATTCAATGGCTGCTAGACAAATCTAAAGCATGTGTAGAACTGGATGTAGAAGACAGAAGAGGCTCTGAAGAGCCCTTTTCAAACCCCAAGAGCCAGAAGCTGTGCCCACCCACAAAGCTAGGAAGTGGTTCACATGTTAAATGTTTAAGCAGTTAGCCAATGTGCTTGAGTAAATTTGCTACCTTTTATCCAAGTGAAGTTAGAGATTCTTTTTTGGAGAGAGTGAAAGGAAATATCTTTATCTTTTTAAATGTACATATGTATAAAAAAGAACTGTTCAAAATGTTCTATTAATAGGGAATAGTTTTACTGTAATTTCCATGTGAATTAGCAAATAGTGCAAAAAGGTATTAAAAATAAATTTACTTAATGTGGCTATTAGCACACCTATGGAACTCATTATAAGTGAAACGTTCTGCTGTGTTTTAGTGGATGTTAACCTGTCCAGTCTGTATGTTTATTTTCTTAGCACAAAAAATTTACATTTCTCCTCATTTACCACAATACTTATAAAACTTTGCTGTGATTGTATAAACTTTCCTCATTTACAAACATAAAATAATTGTTTTTGTACCAACTAATCCCCCCCCCAAAGAAAAATCATAAATACAGTAGTTGTTAAATTGTAGAAGTTAGGGTCAGGGATGTAGCTGAGCGGTGCAATGCCTGCCTGGCAAACACGAGACACTGAGTTTAATTCCCGACACACACACACACAAAATTGTAGAAGTTAGAAATTAGTAGCACTGTGTAAAGTATGTTCTTAAGATTCATGGTATTGGACCAGGGATTTAGCTCAGTGGGGCCATGCCTGCCTGGCAAGCATAAGGACAAGGCCCTGAGTTTGATTCCCAGAACTGGAAAAATACCCAAAAGATTCGTGGTACTAGGGACCACACCTGCAAGAGATCCTCTTGTGTTTTTCATGTTACCAAGCTTTTGCAGCTGGTAGAAGAGAATTTTGAGATGCCTCCTACAATCCTACTTCTTTACACTTAGTTTGTTAAACTGATTGGAGATTCCCAAACATCAATGTTTATACTTGTATTTCATTAGAAGTTATAGCATCAGCTGGCTCAGTGCCCAGCAAATAGTGAATATTCACAAATGGGACCTGTAACATTACTCCTACATCTTGCTACTTCATGTCTTCAAATTTCCCTATAATTTTAGGCACTTGATTATATGGAATAAAATGGGTAGGATGGTTAGATATACAACAGCTTGTTTAGAACTCACTTTTATATACCATGTCTTTGATTTTTTTGTCATTTGACCTAATTCTTCTTTTTAGTTTATTAGTACCTGTGTGTAGTACATAATGGTTACACTCCTTGAAAGAAGTTGGTACACTTATGTAAGACATCTTCATTCCTTTTCTCATCCCCTCTTCCTTTGTTTCCTCCCCCTCCATCCATCGCTTGATCCCCTTCCTTGCTTTATATGTTTCCAGTACATAATAAACATTCCTTATGTGGAGTTGGTGCATGTACATAACACGCCCCAATTCTTTTTCATCCCTTATCCCTTCCTTTCTTTCTCCCATTCCCTGACCCACTTCCCCTCTATCTTTTATTTTGCTGTTTATTTTTACTCTGGTTTTCTCATATTACAGAAACAATGTGATGTTTAAGTTTGTACGTCCAATTTACATACCTTTAATTCTTGGAATGTGTAGTGAAGAGGTTTGGACTACTGATACCGTCAAGTGCCATGAATTTTTCTATTTCTGTCAGTGAGCTACTTAATGTCGGCCGTATCCCACAGATCTACATCGGAGTGAAAACCTTCCAGTCCCCTTTTAGGGATCTCAGGAGTTTGTAGGAATTCTAGAAACTATTGTCAATTTCCTTCATTTCATCCTAGATACTTTCATTATAATGTGTGTCTGAAAGAAAAGCTTTTGTACCATTGGTAAATAGGAGAGTTAGGGCTGTAAATGAGGATGAGGCATCCAACCATAAGCAAATTCTGTAGACAAGAACAGTCAGAAAAACAGGGATAGGATTATAGCCTTAGAAAGAAAAGGAGAAAACCCACAGCTTGGCCGCTGAGCAGGAAGCACGAACCTTTACTCTTGTAAGAAAGTGAGAAAGGTACGCTTGCTCCCCACGCTGACCCCCAGAGAGGCTTCAGCTGCTGGCAGGTGCAGTTCCTCCTGTGCCTTCCTCCCTATGCAGAGCTCTCTTCCCAGTACATTGTTTCTTCTCCCATTTATGTTCCCTTTTGTTCTTTCTTGTGCATTTTAGATATCTATAGAGGTTATAATTACAAATTAAAGAGGTCATGTGTTGTGCCCCATAAGCTCTTTTTCCACAAATTCCTTCCTCATCTTTAAGTGTTATGTTTCATAACTTAAAATTTGTTGGGAAAACTTGTATTAATCCACAAATGCCTAGGTACTTGTCTTACTTCAGCAGTAAGGTTGACCAGGTTGTGCACTGTAAAACTCCAGGATACTCCAGTCATGAAAGCTATGAGGAACTTGAAGCTCAGTGGAATTTTGTGCTATGTAGGGAATACAGGCAATTATGCAGTTTTTAAAATTAAATAGTATGTTGAGGCTTTTAACACCAAATGGCAGGGTGCTCTTGAATCCAGCTGGCTCTGTATCACGGTATGTTGTCTTCTGGAAGGAAGGGCTCAGTCGTTCCCCTGGCTTTAGATTGTTATCAGGACTACAATTTCTGAAATTGTCTTTGGTTTGGTGAATTAGCCTTCTTTCTGTTATAATTCCCTGCCAGTGGCATGTGTTGGGCTGAATATTCCAGACTTGTAAGAAGCAGCCTTTATGGCCCTCATTTGTTGAACTGTGTGCAGGAGTGGAGGCAGGTGTGTGTGTCCTCTCTCCCGGTCTCAGCGGTAGGCCACTGCCTCTCATTCCACAGCTGCTCAGGAGTGAAAGGAAATGATAGAAGGTGGGGTGTCAGCTCCCCTGTTCCAAGGCTGAAGCTAGGAATAGGAACCGGCACCTCTTGAGTTGTTGTGAGCATTTAAGGTCCAGTCCCACACACCTGTTTGTAAGCTGAAGTACACTAACGACAGATCCAGCATTTATGGCTCACGCACAGTTCCTCCAGTCTAGCTGTGGTTCACCAGGTAGGCACTGTACTTTTACTGTAAGCAATACTGTCTTGAAACAGCTAAAATTCTAGTGTTAAAAATTCCAAGAAAACAGAGCTAAGAAAAGGTGAGCCCAAGATTATAGGGTCACTTTGTCTAGTCATCAGCTGTATAGCAGATAGAAAAACATTTCTGCTTTCATTTTTCCAAAAAAAGAAGTACTTTCTTTCCTTTGCCTATTCTTTTGATTTCATTATGAATTGAAACTTCTAAGATTTAAAATATATATGTATTTTAATTGACCATAATAATTGTGTTATGTCATTTTAGATTTCAGGAGGAAGTAACTGTATGAGTATATCTTCATTTAACTGTGTTTAATATATCATTCCTCAAAGTAGTTGGTGAATATCTACTAAATCTATAGGACTTACACTGTAGAATTCTAATTAAAAATTGTTGTTATAGGGGTAGGAGTATAGCTCAATGGTAAAGTGTGTGACTAGCATGTAGGTGGCTCTGGGTTCAATCTTCACCACCATTATAAATAAATAAGTAATGTATTTTCCCTGGAAAAGAAAAATGCAGTGTTACAGGGGTAAAAAAGTCAAATTCTCATGTGTTACAGAAAAAAATGTAATAAAATGTTGAGAGTTTTCTATGAAGTATATTTATATGTGGGTGAGTAGAAAAGAAGCCAGTGTATTTATGTAAAGTATGAGGGTGGAATGCATTTTCAAATACTTCTATTAATAAATACACATAGGAGGACAATATATGATTCTAAAGAGATTTTTAAAATTTAATTTTGCATTAGAATGTGTGTTTTTGCTAATGCTCATTCTATATGTGCATTTACCTAAAAACCTGTTCTTTTAAGCCTGTTGTGATTTAGCCCTCTTATGCTTCATAAGAGACAATCTCCTGTGGGACCTCAGTAATTTGAAAAATTGAAGGGACATCATCTGAGGTCCTTAAAATTGAAATAAAAATAATGTTTTAAAATACTTTAGTATTTTCAAGAAAAACAGTTTATTACTGCTTAAAAAAGCATTTATATCGAGCTCTCCTGATTTACTTTAGCAAGTAAATAATTATTAGAGATACAAATTATTTATTGTTCTAAAAAACTTTACTTAATTAGGTAATGTCTGTCCTTAAATTTCATTTATAGTTCTTATTATATAATGCTGAAATGTGTTGTCCAGCTATAAATTTTGAGGTTGAATTAATAAAATCATATTCATACATTTTACTGATGTAAGCTGAAGTAGAATGAGTATGTTTTTCAATATTGTATTCCTAGTGAGTATTTATTATGTCTTAAACAGGATTTGTTGACTTTTTACATATATATAGCCTGAAACACAGGCTAGTAATTAACATAATTAATAAAAATATTTAGAATATTATGACTGTACTATGAGCCCTTTTCAAGTGAAATTTGAAGGTAATGATATCTTCTTGCCTTTCTTTTTATTTTGTAGGTGCATTTTCTTGATTTTGAACTAGGACCTCTCAGTCAGAAAATGGAAAGCCTAATGTGGATTAGAAAATTTGCAGTAGAAGTAAAGAAAAGAAATATTTTATTATGTGGCCTAATAATAAATTACTCACAGGTAGGTAAAATACTGGGACCTTAAGAATGAATATTCTGTGTATTATAATTTTCATAGTAGGAGACTGATTTTGTTGAAAGCAAAGGATATTAATGATGAGGAAAATTACTCATCTGTTCATGTGCTGTAATAAATAGAACCTACTGACTCTCAGAAGAGTTAAAAAAAACATTTTCAGAAAAAGATAAAAATTAGCAAATATGTCATACCAGGTAGCCCACATAGAATTGCCAGATTTAGTAAATAAAATTCAGAATGGCCAGTGAAAGTTGAACTTCAGATAAACAATATTTCTTGTTTTCCAAATTTGGAATTAAAATTTTAAATGTAACTTAACTCCTATATTTGACAGGCCTACAACTCAAAGCCCATGATCCTAAATCACTTACATTTGTTAGGTTCAAAATACTAACACTCCAGTCTTCTTCTCTTCTAACATGTTACTTAAGTACTTGAAATCAATGCCTGAAGTTCAGAGTCTGAAGGATTGTAGGACTAAATTTTATAGTTAATTTATTTAGTAGCAGCAAGTTAATTAACTTGAAGACAAAATGAACTAGCATTATAGATTCTTTGTGTAGAGAAATACTATTGAAAACTAAGAATTTGGAGAATTTAGTAGAGAAGTTGGATGTATCCTTTGTGTACAGATAGCTTTCATCATACTTGTGACTACTTTAGAGTCTCCTTGAGTGTGCATACAGGAGGCCTAGTAAGTTGCTCAGTTACCTTTCTAGAGGTCTAGTATAAAGATGATTTAGTTCTGACGGCCCAAGGAATAACAGATATTTAAAATTATATATGAGCTATGAAATTATTGAAGGTGCCTTTTTAGCTCATAGCTTATATTTTTTAAAAATATGAATTTTAATTAGATATAAGGACTGTCTTTTAGCCAGTTCTGTGGTTTTAACTTTGTGATTGTTTCCTTTGCCTCCAAAACATGGAAGAATGAGATTAGTTTAGTCATCAAGAAGAGGACAAATAGTGTACTTAGGATAATGGTATGTTAATGTAGTAGGGGCTGTTGAAGTCAGGACAATCAAGGGCCAAGGACAGATGACTGGCAGGGAAATGGTAAGATCTCAGGTCTGTATCCTTGGTTAGGAATATTTCCTCCTCAATAAATTATCATTTTTGATTATGCTGCACATAATATGATGGGGAAAATAAATTAGTTCTTCTCTTTATGCTAAGCAAAGGGATTGTGGTTGCATGCTACAAATGCCACATTGTGCAGATATGAAATAAAATTTATTAGCCAGGCATGGTAGTGCATGCTTCAGCAATCTTTGAGGCTGAGGCAGGAGGATCACCAGTTCATATCTAGCCTAGGCAACTTAGTGAGATCCTATCTCAAAAAAAATTTTTTTTTAAAGGGTTGCAGTATGTAGCTCAGTGTGAGGGGTCTGTGTTTAATCCTCAGTATTGTAAAGTTAATTAATTGATTGAGGCAAATCTCAAAAGTAGAGAAATAGAAAAAGCATATATAGTCCCTGAAATGGTCATGATTCTACAACTTAGACCAGGCATCTACATGTAGGTGACTTTGCAGTAGAAAATAGGGTTGCTAGGTAAAATACTGAATGCCTAGTTAAATTTGAATTTCAAGTAAACCATGAATAACTTTCAATATTAAATATGTCCAAGTATTACATGGAATATGAATAACCTGTGTTATTATCTTCTGAATCTTACAACAGATTATAATAGAGTATTTCCATACTTGGCAGGTTCTACATATTTATGGGGTGTGGGACATATTTATGTACTCTATATCCGTCAGAACTCCCAGATCATAAAAGTGAATCTGTTGGAAAGAAAAGGGCTTTGGAGCCTATTTCTTGATATCAGACTGTTGGTATTCTGAGTGGGGAGACCAGCTCTCTTTTGAGATACCAAAAGTGGAGAGGAGACAAGCCCGTAAAGCCTTTTTCAAGAGGCAAAGACACCTACATAAAGTAGAACTTCTATTCGCTGTACATTGAAGGCCCACAAATTAAATGGTGTAGGTTTGCACTTTCCATTAGTGGTGTGAACTAGAACTTTTTGTAGTTTTAATACATTGGACTTTGATCTCTAAATCTAATCCTTTTCTGTGGTTGCTCTTAGTGTGTTTGACCAGGTCATTATTGTATATCTCTAGTTTCTGATCAGAGAAGCCTTTAAATTTTTAACCATTTTTTTTTATATATCTCATCAAGTGCTGCTACTTTAGATAGGTTTTCAGTGTTTTTTATAGTTCCATCTTGAAAGAGAGTATGTGTTGAATTGACCTCAAAGTATGTGCTACATACATGGTTCTTTGGATTAAGGAAGACCTGCCTTTTTCTGTACATGATATTTCTGATAATATAGATAGTCTTCTTTTTCTGGCTGTACTTCTTGGCCTGATTTATGTGATGTTTATAGTTAAATAAAATTATTTAAACTTTTAAAAATCTTAAAAACATGCTCTTCATTTGTGTTTATGTAGGCTTCTTTTATACACATGCAGAACTTTCTGTGTTTCGTGAATTTAAACACATTAGTATTACTCTATTGTTTCAGTCTTAATATTTGTGATTCATGATATAATACAGGTATAACTGCTTATTTCATATTCCTTATGAATTTGTCTATATTTTGTGTGCACTTTCAGACAATAACTGATTTGGAAAAGGACAAGAGTTGATCCTTATTCTAGTATCTATATGTTTCCTAAAATGTTGTAAATGATCAATTATTAATCATTCTTTGATAATCTAAAGATATCTTTCATTACTTTATCCATATTTTCTTTAATTATATCATAAATTCTTCCAAATACTTTGTTGAACTCCAAATATGCCCCATAAGGATACATTTTCCAGATCATAGAGGTTATTTACTAAATTAGGGAAAATATTTGATTCCTTAGCTAGGTTGATACAAGCAAAGCACTTATTAACTTCTTCCTAAATTGATTTTAAAATACTTGTTGACAAACACAGAAAGAAAATCATTTAAATGAACCCCTTGTGGGTAGTTTAAACTTAGGCTATGGATCATGTTATTAGGTTGGCCATTTATATGTAATATAAAGTTTTCTGAATTTATTATTCAATGTGCATTTCCTTATGTTGCCAGTGAACTAGGAAAGATTTGAAATTTATGCTGTAGACTAGATGTGCACTATAAAGTTTGCCATGAAGTTTGTTGGATGATTTAAATCAGGTTGTATCCCTCTTCCTAAAATAACTATGCAAATACAACTATAGATAATTAAAGTGAGATTTTATAGTTTAATCCATATAAAAGATCTTAGTCTCATTAAGTACTTAAATCTATGGATAAAATACTGCTCTTTATTTATCATTTTTAATCAAAGATTTCCACATAAGTCATTGAGCCCCATGATATAAAATTATACTGGGGAGACATTTTTTAATAACCTGAAAATCTATTCTGGTATGAGTAGTATGAGTAGTGAATTTATAGAGATATACTATTTCTGGTGGGAATGTTTCAAGTCAACCACTTTTCATACTTAATTTTGCTGAAAGCTAAAGTATTTTACAATAATTTTTAATGCAAATATTTGCAAGTATACCTTTTTCAATAAATTTCAAATATGAATTTCTGTGACAATAAAATTTTAAAGTCTATAAAATTTATAACCTCTTGTAACATTTTTCTACTTTATATGTGCATTTTACATGCTCAGAAATTTCAAGATACAATTACGGAGCTTCAAGGTTACAGAGTTTTCTATAACTATAACAACTGATTGTTTATTTTGCTGTATTAGTGTTTATGCTTTTCTACATTGAAAAACTAGCTATGTAACCTTGGGCAACTAATGTAACGCTTTCCATTCCCAGATTCTCCATTTTATGCCGACTTTAGATCTCCCACCTTAATCCTTGTCCTGGATGCGGGGACAGGGACTCAGGAGAGGTGGGGACAGCTCATGCATCTGTCTCTGATACACATTGGCACCGGAATTTGAGCCTGGTTTTTCTTCAGGAGATGATCACAAACTTCACTTACATTATTTTCTTCACATCACTGAGAAATTATTCATTGTAGCTAGTACATTTTAGTATAGTTAAGAGAAGGAACTTTTATTTTTAGACATAATAAAAATAGTGGAAGACAATAAGAGGGGAGTTATGATGCACCCAAAGAAAGCTGAAGAAAATATTAAACGTAGCAACATGGCAGTAAGTGTGACCATTTAGTGTATTTTTTTCTTTGTCTTTTGTTCACACTGAGCTGTCATTCTACTGGGTATGATGCAATAAGAAACAACTTTTGAAAGCAGCATTTGACTTTGTGAGCATATTCACAGGGTAGGGACATCGGAACAACGGGTACCAGGTGACAGAGTTACAGAAACCAAGCTTGGAGCGGTGAGGGGACTTCATCATCCTCTCCCTCTGCTCCAGTTCTAGTCTTTCTTCTTCCCGCCACTGCCGATATGGAAGGCATACAGAAAAGGAATACAAAGCACTTTTGTATAGTAACTATTTGTCAATTACATACGAGAATCATTGCATAAATCTCCAAAGCAGTATATAGAAGTATGAAATGAAGTTTTTTAACAGTAGCAAATTACATGAAGTTATATAAATTGGTCTTATATCACAGAGTGTAACAGACCACTCTACTTGATGAGATAAATACTATCATTTTTCTCTATTGTCTGAGTTTTAAAGGTTTTATGTATGCTATGAAGATATCCAGGATACATTCTTGACTATGAATCTGCTTGTAATTACCAAAGTGAACTCGTAATGAAACATTAAGAAACATATGAGCAAGTGGAATTGCTGCAGAATACCTTGGGGCCCAGAGAGTGAATTTGTAAGACACAATCCATCTTTCTATCTCAAATCCTCCCCCATTTGCCCATATGCCTTCTCAGTGTTGGAATTATCCTTCAAGTGTGCATGATTGTTTATAGAACAAGTATGTGTATACTATCAAGAAGAAGTAGAAGAAGGAGAAGAAAAAAGACTTAAAAAATTATAATCTTG